GGGATGCTATAACAGTCATAATGGTGAAAAATGGTCATGTTACTTTTTTTTAGTGCCGTTGTAAATTCGAACTGTCACTAAATGAATTGTTGTAAGTCAAAGACTATCTATCCTCAGGTAGAGTAAAAGAATAACCTTTTCTGAGTGAAGGAATGCCAGGTGGTTGCCCAATCTTTGCTAAACAGTCTCAGACATGGCTAGGATACAGTTCACACTCAGTTCACACTCACAGCCATTGTCTGCATGAACTTATGAGGAAAGATAAAAGTAAACTCTGCCTCTTCACATCCCCTAGCAGAAATCTTGATCAAGATGCTGCAATTTTTCCTGGAGGGATCAGTGGGGGGAAAGAAGGAACGTCCCCATCTCAATTCAGTCTGGCTCATTCTTCGTGCTTTGAGCTCCATCAGTTCCTAGTGCTCAACTGAAATCTACGAAATGTACCAAGATGTTTATTTCTTTAAAAACTAAATATGGTGATTCAAAACCTATTTTAGTGTAAGTCTATTTTTTTTGGAAAAATGTCATTCAAAACCTGAATGATCTTTTCTTTTTTCCTATAGAACCACACAAATATCGCTAAGCCTCAGGATGATGCTGTATTTCCTTTCCATGTCCTCTGCTTTTCTGCTTTCCTTTCCATAGTATCTGCCTTGCTACATTCTGGTGCTTATTCCTTTTTTGGTCTTATGTTCTCTCCCTTGTGTGCTGGAGGAAATGATAAGTCTTTGGGAGAGACATTTTTTTTGTTTCCAGCCAGCTTTTTGGAATGGTGACTAAGCACAGCCATATACAGGTTTAGGGAATTTTGCCTCCAAAAAAAGCAAAATTTCCTGGCAGTTTTTCAGAGGTTAATAGGATGCAGCAAGTCAGTACAGTTTATTAAAGGCTGCCAAAAAAAGGGGGGGGATGAGTGAGTTACAACATGCTTATGATCCCTTTTTGGAGAGTTTTGCCTTTATAACTAGAGCACAGAGACACATGTCATGATACAGATAGAATTTTGCATTTGAATACCTTTCAGCCAATCCTAAATTTCACTTTTTGAATGATTTTATACTTGCAGAAATGGCCATTTTTAATCTCAAAATAAAATTTGTTTTTAATCAAATTAATCTGTGAATTATTTTCTAATATTGGCTTTTCCATTCATGTTATGGTAAGAAACCTGGAAAGAAGAATTTTAAATCATTCCAAAAGAATGAATGCTCACGAACTCAATATTGATGATAGTTGGAAATTCTTCCTACAAAGATTATTTATTTCAAAACGTGTCATGAAGATACACAAAGTCTGCTTAGTTCTCATTTCCCTTATCTTGCTTTACAGTGTGGATTGGACAATGGTATTTTCCAGATATGTTGGACTACAACCCTTATTATTTTCTATCCTATATTCAGAATGGATAAAGTTGTGAAACACATCTGGAAGATATAGGTAGTCCTTGACTTACATCTGATTATTCAACAACTGTTTGGAATTACAATGACCTTGGAAAAAGGTGCTTTATAGCCCATAAAACATTTTTGGCCATTGTAAAATGTCATTCCATCCCCCCGCCCCCACTAATCACATGACCATATTTTAGACACTTGGCAACCAGTTCACATTTATGACTGGTTGCAGCATTATATTATCATATGACCACACATTGTGAGTTTTTTGCCAGACAAAAAACACCCATTCAGGAGAATGGATTTGGACTTGTGATTGTATGATTCACTTAGTGAAAATCTGCTTTCTAGCGAATCTAAATCGTCCAGCACAGCTGTTCCCCCCCTTGCTGTCCTACTTACCTTCTTAAGCCTCATTTTTCCTCTCGAAGTGCGCGTTTGGCACGCACTGGATATGCGCGCACAGCGAACCAGTGGCAAACCTTGGAGGATTTCACCATTGGTCCAGTCACATGGATGCCTTGATATACAACAAGTCATGACTTTTGAATAAAATTCCAATTCCAACTGCAATCATAAATTAAGGATTATCTGGTTATATCCATTTGTGTCAGAAGCACTGATTAAGATTAGCTAAAAGATTAACCGGTGGCATCACCATTACCTTGGGGATGTCCATGGTGGATCCTTTCATGCCCCTCTCAAGGAGCCGAAATTAGGACAGAAGCTCTTTCTGCCATGTAACAGCACTTGGGTCTTAAATGTGGGCTTGCTAATCTCCAACCCTGCAACCTAACCACATGAACCACTGCGCTCTTATCAAGTGTGAGAAGTTGTTTTAGAACCCGATGCACAAATGAATATAATTATTATGATACGAGTATTCCCAAGTCTATCTCTAAATTTCTATTCCAAATGTTCTCCTTAATTAAAAAAATTCTCTTAATTAAGGTTGAAATTAAGTTGGTTGCCTTTTCATCCTAGTGTAAATTATTGGGGCTGAATGTCTAGTACAGAAAATGATCCTTTGAAAATTAGAACAGTATTCACTTAGCAATAACATATTCATCATTTATAGACAATTCAGTTTCAAATTCATTCGTACAATATTCAAAACCAAAAGTTCTTTTTATCTTCTTTAAATCTTTCTAATAGTAGTACCTAAGGAAAACATTGATATGTATATCCTTCTTATGGTCAGATCTTCTCCTGATTTTATTTGCTCTCTCCCTATGAAAATATTAATATGTTATAATAAAATAATTATTTATATTTAATTTTCACTTTGCTTCTATAATATGTTTCCTGTAATGAAACCACTTTTTGGATTTATATCTATTCCATTTTCTCAATATGGCATGTCTAACAAAGTGATCTTTAGAAAATACATTAACTTTAGCGTACCAGAAATAATTCTGCCATCCAAATGTCAAATTGTCTCTTTCTAACTCCAATAATCTTTTATTTCTCAGCATCACCCAATCTCTCATATGGATTATTCTTTTAATCACAGAAATTCTTCCCAATAATGACAATTCTAATTTTTCCTTTCTTAATGTAACTTTTTAAACTTCATTTCATATTTTAACATATTTTGGAACAACATATAATTTATATTTGTCAAATTAATACCCAAATATTTTACATTTTCTCAGTCTTAAAATCTGTTTCTTTCATCAGTTCTGATAAATCTTACACTTCATATTTTTATTGTCTTCTATTTAAAACCACCTAATGCAACAAATTATTTTAATTTTCTCATTAATAATTCAATCTCTTTAAAGTATTTTCCAAAACCAGCATTAAATCATCTGTAAAAGCTCTCAACTTGCCTTTTTTATTTTTACAACCATTTTCTTATGCGCTTTCATTGTGCCTTATATTTCTATTTAAAACTTCAAAAATCAAAATAAACAGAAAAGGAAATAACAGACAACCTTGTCTGGTTCCTCTCTCACAAAGTTTTGTTAGATCTCTATTAACAGTTATTTGTGCTTTCTATGAGGCATAAACTGATTTTATCCATTTTATAAAATTCTTTCCAAATCCATGTCTTCTAAAACTTTAAATAAAAAAGTCCAATTTAAATTGTCAAAACCTTTCTTTGCATCTACAAAAATTAATGCAGCTTTTTTTCATTATGCTATTCCAAATGTTCTATAATGTCCTTCACCTTTCACATTATTTTTAACTGTTTTTTAGGTAAAAAAAAATACAATGTCAGGATTTCAAGTAATAATCCCATATCAAGCAAAACTCCGAGGCAGGCGAAGTCCTCAAAGAATAGCTTTATTGGAAATATCATATTGGCACAGATCTGGTGAAAACCAAATCTAAAAGTTCCTGCAGTTTTCACTTACCAGTAATTAAAAGTGAAAGTTTGTCACTTCCCCCCCAAACCCTTAGTCACATGGTCCAACCAGCATACAGTCCAGTTGCTAAATGACCTCAGTCTCCTCTTTCTGAACACCTGCGGGAATGTCCTTGGTTCCCAAGGGAAAGCATTTTGTTTTGGCTATAGCTATCTCTATTCCCCCCTCCCTATCCCTCAGCTCCAGTCAGCACTGAAGCAGGAAAATAAAAAATGGTCTCAGTTCAGCCAACTTCAGGGTTGACATACACATTGAAGAAGTAATAAATTCTTCAGAATTATTTACAATCTGTAATTCACCATTCAATAGTGATACTGGTCTATAATTTCTTGTTGAAGTTAAATCTTGCCCCTCTTTAGCTTTCTTTCTTTTTTTCTTTCTTTCTTTCTTTCTTTCTTTCTTTCTTTCTTTCTTTCTTTTTTTCTATCTGTGTGCTGCTTATCTCACAGTTCAAGGCAGTTCTTCACGATTATTTTTTAGCAATCTAAAAATTCACGGTTTTTTTTTTTTTTTAATTTGATTTATATGCCGCCCTTCTCCGGAGACTCAGGGCGGCTTACAATGTGCTAAGCAATAGCCTTCATACTTTTGTATATTTATACAAAGTCAGCTTATTGCCCCCACAAACTGGGTCCTCATTTAACCTACCTTAGAAAGGATGGAAGGCTGAGTCAACCTTGAGCCTTGGCGAGATTCGAACCAGCAGTAAATTGCAGGCAGCTGTGTTAATAACAGGGTGCTTTAAACCACTGTAGTACCAAGGGTTTGGAATGGAACAGTGGTGGTGTCTTTATTGTTACTGCATAACTACCTCCAGCTGAGAACTACTCCTTCAGGGTCCCATGGCAGCTGGTATAGCCAGGTTTTTTTCCTGAAGGCCAGAAGAAAAGGGACAGTTCTAACTTTCAGTGGCAAGATATTCCAAAGGACAGAGGTCAAGGCAGAAAAGACTCTTCTCCTAGACTCCAGCAGCCAAAATTCCTTGACTTATGGGACCTGCAGTAGGCCTCTTCTGCCAGAATGAACGGGGCAGATCAATCCCATTGGGAGAAGATGGTTCTTAGGTATCGTGGACCCATGCTATAGAAAGCTTTAAATTCAACACTTTAAATTGGACCTGAAACTGACAGGTTTAATTTAATTTAATTTTAGCAACAACATTATTAGATTGGGAGAAGTTTGAGAATTTCCCAGTTCCAAAAACTTATTGTTCTTTCTGTTCTCTCTCCGACAGAATATGTCAAAAGCTTTCTCTCGCTGTGACTTAATAGAAAATCTTCTTCAGAGTAGCTGCACAAAAGATGATATAGAGTATCCAGTCAGCAATACCTTCATACTGGAGGCCAGACCTCTCAGTGCCAAAGGATCAGGGAGTGACATCACCCAAATGACTCCACAGAAGATTGAACTCCACCTGCGTCCAGGTAAAACCAGATACAGTCCTTGATTTATCCACAGAAAGCCTTGAGTTTGTTCCTCATATCTATAGAGTAACAGTAAGAAATAGAGAAGAAAGCATCTACATAAGAGTTTGAAGGACTGCTTCACTTGAACTGATAATGCTGCAAACATGGTCCAGTAGTCTGAGACAATATGATGATAGTTTGATAATTTTAGAGCTATCCTATGATAGTTTCAGAGCTATGTTGACTTGATTATTAGCTGTCTATTCAGAATGGAGATATTACGTTCTGGCAATGGTAGTCAACTTTTGAGATCTTGTGGGCATACTGGGAATCTGAGGACAAACTACAGCTACTGTTCACAAAATGGCCACCATTTTGGATATGTCCAATCTTTCAACCTTCATTTACTAGAAAGGCTTACTACCCTTTAGCTTTTGGGATCAAAAAGCAGGTTTAAACAAGTTTCTTCTTGTTGTTGTTAAGAATGTGCACACATTTCATAGCAAAGCATTTGGCAGCAGCCACCCATTATCTTTATTTTTCATAAATATAAGGCCTATCTGGTGTTTAGAACCATTCTTGGAAATAAATATTGCTGCCTTGTCTTGTTATTTTTTTTTATTTGTAATTATATATTTGAATATTGTAAGCCACCTAAAATCATCTGGAGTGGATGGCTGTAATAAGAAATAATAATGTGAATTTATACTGTTTCATATCAACTTATCACTTATTGATTTTTATTAAAAATGTAAAGATGTTGGCTGAAGCAAGCAGTCAACAGTTACCAAAAGAGATGTCTACAGATGTGCTTATGCTTGGCCATCACATTGCTTTGCTATGATTTAGAATATTGATCTCGTATGGCCAGAAATATCAATCAGGAGAAATAGAATGGTGTATGTTTAGGTTAGTTTATGATAGCATGAGTCAGTAACAATGTGACTTAGTAAATCAAACATTCGGAAAGAATAGGCTAGGTTGAAATCTTTGGGAAAATATCCCTCATCTTTAGGCCTTCGGTCCTTATCCAATTTTGCTATTTCAGATGACTCCCAAACTTTCTCAGTACAAGTGCGTCAGGTGGATGATTATCCCGTGGACATCTACTATCTAATGGATTTGTCTAACTCCATGAAGGATGACCTCCGTAATATCCAGAACTTAGGTACCAATCTTGCCATGGAAATGCGCAAAGTGACCAGCAACCTGAGGATTGGCTTTGGAGCTTTTGTGGACAAACCTCTGTCCCCTTACATGTACATTTCTCCTCCAGAGGCCATTGAAAACCCATGCTATGAGTAAGTTCTCTAGTCAGAAGAAACACTGATGATTGTATCTTTGTTAAACAAGCCTGAATTCCCCAACTGCAACTGAGGTTAGCTCCCATCACCTTCTGCCAACTTGGCCAAAAATCAGAGATGAAGGGTGTTGTAGCCTAGAAGCATCTCAAACACCTCAGATCCCCTATCTCTAAAGCTAAATTTTATAATCTGTAGATTAAGATTGCTAAATGTGTATTCCTATTCCTTCTTTATCTTAAATATGTGCAGGCAGAATGAAATATTTCTTTCTTAATATCAGGTAAAATCTAGGGAATTTCATAAGTTTTATTATATTTTAATTCATTTTATCCATTTGTATAGCTGCCTATCTTAACAAGTAATTCTAGGCAGCAAAAAAAACAAAGAAAAAAAAAACAACAACCCCAAATTAAAAAAAAAAACAATTACAACCACAAATCCAAAATTAAAAAGGCAGAGCAGACAAAGAAAACATCATAGTCTATACAACTAGGGTATGGATTCTTTCACACACTCAGGAATCTAGAACCAGGCACAGAACCAGATATTCAGAGCCTTATGAAAAGCCAGGAGGGTTGGGGCCTTCTTGTCTCCAGTTGGATAAGGTTTCATAAAGTGGACACTATAACAGAAAGGGACATCTTCTGACCCTATTGATCAACATTCCTTAGCCAGTGGGTTACAAAGCATGCCCATCCTGCCAGACTGGATCAGACAGACAGAAACAACAAGGATGAGATGATCCCTCAAGTAACCCGGTCTCAAACATTGAAGGGCTGTAAAGGTGTCAACCAGACCCTTTAGTTATACCTGGAACAACACTGGCTCACCAAGTAGTAGTGTTATATAGGCGAAGTAACTCTAGGAGTAAGTAGTAGCTGGGTTCCTCCTTAGCTATTTCAAATATTTATTTTTGACTCTCGTGGGAATAAATAGCTAATGTATCTAATGAGGACACTACCATGTGCTTTTGGCAACTACTGTGACAGAGGGGAAGAGCTGAGTTAAGGACCCTTTAATTGAGCTCAGGAGAAATTGATTGGATTGTTTAGCCGGGAGGGTGTGTAATGTGAGGCCAATGGCTGTGCTAAGTTCTGTGGACTTCCTTAGGTTTTCATTTTCCTGTTCCCTTTTCTAAGCTTAATATGCTATTTTTTAGCTTGAAACCACCAGATGATCACTGCCTACCAATGTTTGGCTACAAGCATGTCCTAGCTCTCACAGATGAAGTCAAGCGTTTCAATGAGGAGGTGAAGAAACAAAGTGTATCTAAGAATCGAGATGCACCTGAAGGAGGATTTGATGCCATTATCCAAGCAGTTGTCTGTGATGTAAGAGGCAATCTCTATTATGGGGTATTCAGAGTTTCTCAAAAAATCATTTCTCTGGTGCCAATTAAGTGGGCAAATATGTATGGGTTGCATACATTCCACTTTGGGGACCAGAGACATTTTGTCTCCTAAATATTGGTCAACTGCATGTTTTCAGAAGTCAACCATACTTAGGTTGTCATATATAGTCATTGAAGGGATAGAAGGAGCATCCCCAACCCCAAGAGTCAATTAGTCTGCCTGCCTTTAAACACTTGGAGTTTTTTCTCTCTCTCAAATATGGGAGTGGGTGACCTGTTGGATGAGTTTTTTCTTCTTTTTTCTCCCACTATGAATAGAATAGAATAGAATAGAATAGAATAGAATAGAATAGAATAGAATAGAATAGAATAGAATAGGAGACCTTGGAGGTCTTCTAGTCTAGCCTCCTCCTCAAGCAGGAGAACCTATACTATTTCAGATAAGTGGCTGTCTAGTTTCATCTTAAAAACTGTCAGTGATAGAGCGCCCATGATTTCTGAAGGCAAGCTATTCCACTGGTTAATTGTCCTCACTGTTAGGAAGTTTCTCCTTAATTCCAGGTTGCTTCTCTCTTTGGTTAGTTTCCAACCATTGTTTCTTGTCCTGCCCTCTGGTGCTTTATAGAATAATTTGACCCCTTCTTCTTTGTGACAGCTTCTCAAATACTGGAATATTGCTATCATGTCGCCCCTAATACTTCTTTTCTTTAGACTGTCACTAGCCAAACCCAAATCCTGCAGCTGTTCTTCATATGTTTTAGTCTCCAGGTCTTTGATCACCTTAATTGCTCCTCTCTGTTACTTTTTCCAAGGTCTCAACATCTTTGTTGTAGTATGGTGACCAAAACTGGTTGTAGCATTCCAGGTGTGGTCTTACTAGATTTTATAAAGTTGTACTAGCAATATGTATCTATGTTGCTATTTTGCATTGTAAGTTTTTACATTTTGTTTTATTATATGATCCTTACTGATATTTACTATTGAATCTAATAATGAATATATATATATATATATGAGGTTTTGTTTTTGTTTTGAACATATCATGGAGCTTATTTTCTTACAGGACAAAATTGGCTGGAGACCTGATGCTTCCCACTTGTTGGTCTTCACTACAGATGCCAAGACACACATTGCTTTAGATGGGAGACTGGCTGGAATTGTAATACCCAATGACGGGAAGTGCCACTTGAACAGCAATAACTATTATGAAGCTTCCACCACACTGGTGAGGGTATTTCATTTCATAGCCACAGGATTGGATTTAATATAGCTACAAAAATTGTTCCACGATAGCAGATGATACACTTGGCTGGAATTCCATAAACTTTAGGTTTACTTCCTCCAGATAAATGAGACTTCAAGTGCTGGAATTTTCAATCAATGAGGCTATCTGTATGCTAATCACTAGCACTATGAACAATAGTGTGACTCCATGTTTGTCTATGTGCTTATTCCTGATAAAAAATGGGTTTTTTTGCCATGTTGATTTAACTTTCAGCTGAACTATCTGAATTTTTAGATAGAGTCATCTTATTGATGAGCGAGGCAGCATATAAATCAGATGGATGGATGGATGGATGGATGGATGATAGATAGACAGAGATAGATAGATAGATAGATAGATAGATAGATAGATAGATAGATAGATAGATAGATAGATAGATAATTTTCTTACTCAGTAACGGTATTGCTGTTCTTCCTTCATTAGCTAACCCAAAGTACCAGTACTTTCTGCTTTAGCTTTTTTCTCCTTCCCAATGATGATAAAGAAAAGTTCGTCTTTGGGCTTTCAGGAGGACAGCAGCATTACTGAAGGACAGGAAGATGAATAGAAGGATGACTTAGGTAGCCAGTGGGACTTTGTAATCTGAAAGAAAAAGGCATATAAACCCCAGAATCTTCCCATTGCTTTTGTCCTTCTTAGATTCTCTGTACCAAAAAAAAGAGAATATGTGTAGCTTGGGGTTGAAATGAGGGGTCCTTGGTGCTGTCTGGGCTTCATTGTTTTCTTGCAGATGTTTTATTACCCAAAATAGGAAATATCATCAGTGATGGTAAGGAGTGGGGTTTGCTCCCAGTTTATATTCTAGTGGTTTGCTCTAACAGAGCAAAAGCCATTAGTATAAAATATAAACTGAGAGCAAGCTCCACTCCTTACTATCACTGATGATGTTACTTAATTTGGGTAATGAAATGTCCACAAGAAAACAACTAAGCTGGGACTGCATTAAAAACTCCTAGATACTTTGTTCAAAATGAGATGCTGGTTCAGTGCTGGCCTAGGTTGTCAACAAATTCTGAACAATGTTCAGCTCAATGTCCATGTCTGAAGCTTTTTTCTGGGAGGTATATAGTATACAGAGATATATTGCACCCTCAGTGATAATCCTGTAATTGAGACCAGACCATTCATTGTTCCGTGAAGAAATCAGGCTTTCCCTAACTTTAATAATGTTCTCAAGAGCAATAATTTCCCATCTGGAATAAATTGCATTTTTACACTAATTTGGGAGAAAGTAAAGGTGGTGTGCCTAAAATCTATGGTGGATGTAGTTTTATTTACTTTCTGCTCCTAATAATTCTTCCCAATGACTATGCTCTCCAACCTCTTCATTCCTATAGCACCATTCTAGATTGTCTGTCTTGCTCACAATAGAAGGGGACTGTAGATTGTTTCAAGAGGTCATGAGATCTTCAGTTTTAACATGATGATAGGTTTACTATAAATGTCTTGAAGATTTGGAAGAAAGGTGAGATAACAATGTTTTAATTAGGTACAGTACATAAAATAACTAGTAAGTGGCATATTTCTATGTTCAACCTTTTTTCCTATGAAGTGATAGGCAAGAAAATTACTCATTTGACTCTCTTGATTTTTCTTCCCCAGGATTACCCATCCCTTGGTCTGTTGACAGATAAACTCTCACAGAAAAACATTAACTTGATTTTTGCAGTGACTCAGAACATAGTTGGTCTTTATCAGGTAAGAAGAAACAATGATCCACGTTATGGTTAGGGAATATTGTGGGACTCGAAATTTGAAACAATAAAAAGTTTTGTCTAGATGTTGGGTTGCTGTTTCCTTTTTTGCTGTCCTTTATTAGAAAAAAGAAATCAAAGGACTATACAAAAGATAAGAAGAGGGTAGTTCTGACTCCCTTTTAAAAGTTTTGTAAAAATTCAGTCTGACATAGAAAAACTGTATCCCAATTTTCTTAGCTTGTATATGTCCATTTAAGGGAAATTTCTGCTGTTTTCTTTTCAGAACTACAGCGAGCTGATCCCAGGCACTACTGTAGGGACCTTGTCAAGGGACTCAAGCAATGTTTTACAGCTCATTTTGGATTCCTATGGGGTGAGTCCATGAATAGGAATGTCTAAGTTTCACTAGGTTATTGTCAGGATTTGTCTGACACTGGACGCAAAAGGTAACTTCTGTAAATGTTAAAATACCAAACTGGTGGGGGCAGGGGTGGTAAAAAAATGCCTATGGGGGTAGGAGCACAACTATATAATTGAAACCCTGTGCATTTAATGAGTATTATAATTGTGACATACATGAGAAAGAACGTAACTTTGATCACATGGTCACAGATTCCATTTTGACTTTTTTGACTTCACCCAAATATGTTCTTATCCATAACTAGATATTTAAAGCAACAGCTTGTACTTCCCAGCCCTCTGCTTGACTAACATTTGTCACATACCAAAGATATAACACAGAGCCTTCTAATTTAGGGGATGAATGGAAATACAAATAGGGAGTTAATTTCTAAAGAACTCTAGTAATTTTATTTGGAATTTAGACTTTTTTAAAAAACAAAAGCCAGATAAAATAATTGATAAATGACTGCACTTGAGGGGTTTTTTTGCATTGTCCCCTCCATGCATTTTCTGTTCCTGTATTGTGGCTTTCTTAAATTTATTTGCTAAAATAAAATTATGTTACCAATATAGACAATAAAGTCCTGTTGAACTGTTTTCCCTAAACTTAAAACTTCTGGTATTGCCTTCTTTTGAGTATGGCAGCAGGATGGACATACATTTATGTAGGCAGATCTGAATCTAAATACATAAATGTAGATAGCATAAAACCCCAGTTTCACATTAAAACTTTCATAGCAAAGTTGTCCTTTGTATTTCTTATCTTTTCTATTAACGTTGAATCCACCTCCTGTTTTGGAGGGTGTCTTTGAATCCATGTGGACTCCTGGCAATGGCCTGGCATGTCTATGCAGTTTTCTTGACAAGATTTCAGAAGTGGTTTGCCATTGCCTTCTTCCTAGGTTGAGAGAGAGAGAGAGAGTGTGTGTGACTGGTACAAGATCACCCAGCTGGCTTTGTGCCTATAGCAGGACTAGAACTCACAGTTTCCCGAGTTTTAGCTGATGCCTTAACCACTACATCAAACTGGCTTTTTTGTTTTATGCTGACTGAATCACTGAACAGTTCTTTTTAATAGTTCAGATTCCTATCCCTGGTGATCAGCTGATAGATACTTACAGAAATCTACATTAGGAACTTTATGGCTGAGCAATCCAATCCTTGATTTCATAAGAACATAGAAATGGAAGGAGCCATTTAGGTAATGAATCCAATCCCTACTTAGTACAGGAATTCAAAGCATCCTGAGCAGATAACTAGCAATCTATTTCAACATATCTAGTAAAGAGCAATCCAGCACGTCTTTGGATAATTGATTCCATGCTGAACTATTTTTATTGGTAGAAAGATTTTCCTTACATTCAGATATAATCTACATCCCCAGTAATATAAATCTATTATTCATTGTTCTATGTTCTGAGCAGACTTTTCAACATTCTTCATTGAAATCCTTTAAGGCCTTTGAAGAATTTATCATATATTTCCTCAGCCTTCTCGTCTCAAGGTTATACATCCCCATTTACTTCCATCTCTTTTCATGAGACTTAGCTCTTAGACCCCTGACATCAGTGCTTTTCACTTCATCCATTCTAGGTTGTCTGAATCATAAGGCTCTGCTATTAGCCACAATGGCCAAAAATGATAACATATGCATCATGACATCGTTGAGCAAAGGAGACAATAATATGATTGTGTCGGTCATGTTATTCTCTCTGACTGCAAGTCAGGGGTGGGCTGCTGGGAGTTTGCAGGGGTTCAGGAGAACCTCTAGCTAAGATTCTGTGCAGTTCAGAGAACCCCCAAATCCCACTACTGGCTAGCCCCGCCCACTTTGCTCTGCCCCTCCCAGGAGTCCTCACGCAGCCCATTTTGGATGCAGGTAAGTGCAGGGCATGCATGGAGGCTTGGGGAGAACGAAAAACAGGCCTACCGGAAGTTCAGGAAGGCCAGATACAGGCCTGTTTCCGGCCTCTAGAGGGCCTCCGGAGCCTGGGGAGGCTGTTTTCACCCTCCCGGAGGCTCGAAAAAAGACTCCAGAGCCTGGGAAGGGCAAAAAAGCCCTAACCCGCCATGATGCGGGAGGCTGACTAGGCCACGCCTACCATGGCCACACCCATCCAGCAACAGGGCAGAGAACCCCTTGCTAAAATTTTTGAAGCCCATCTTTGCTGCAAGTAGGTGTCACGTAATTTTCATTAAAATATGGTACACATGTCATTTGGCTTTCCTTGCCCCATATGCTACCTATTCATCCCCCTGGTCTCAATCCCTCTTTATCTATTCAGAACGGAACACTGTATTGAGGGTCTGATTGTCATAGGTTAAGAGAAAGCTATTGTCTCCTGTAATTTGGAAATATTCCTTCTGTTAATGCAGCCTTAAACTGCAGTTGCCTTTTTTTATTTGCAGCAATGTTACATTGCTGACACATTTTCAGTGTGTAAACAACTTCTATTCCAAGATGTTTTTCACTGAACCAAAATAGTAGTTGAGTAGCTCTGCCTTTTCTTTGCTATTTGTTAGCATTTTGCCATCTTTACAGAGCAGCTGTTGCACTAATTCTTTTCTTGTGAGTGTATCGAAGAAGCTCTTTTTGTTATTCTTAGCATCCTCTGCCAACATCCTGCTGAGCTTTAATCTCCCCAAGTCTATGTCTACAGTTCTGGGCTACTTAGATGCCCCTCTTGTTTTCCATTATTTACCATGCCAGGCTTATTCTAGTGTCCCCAATATTTTTCTCTCTGGAATTGTTACTGCCGTATTTTAAAAACTCCCATCCATATTTAATTGATTTTCCCGTTAGCTTCCCCTGCCTTGGAATCTACATCAACTCTAACTAATTTAGGTAGATTGAAGGAGATACTGGTTGATTATTAAAAAAAAAAGAAAAGAATTGGAGCCTGATAAATTTAAATTGGGAAGACTAGTTGGGTTTTTAGATGAGGTCTGCAACTGGATGGAGGCTAATTTTATCTTTCTGTCCTTCCTCAGAAAATCCGTTCCAAGGTTGAACTAGAAGTCCGTAATCTCCCAGAGGAATTGTCCCTTTCATTTAATGCCACCTGCCTTGATAATGAAGTCATTCCTGGAGTTAAGTCTTGTGTTGGACTCAAGATCGGCGATACGGTGAGTTATGGTTGCACCATATTAAGGCAGAAATAATTGTAGAGAGTTGCAATTAAAGCTACAATTAAGATGGTGATTTCCCATCACTTTTAAGAGGAATGTCATACTCTACTACTGTACCGCAAACATGCTATAGGGTTAAATATTAACCCCACAAGAGCTCTGAGAAACATTTATTGTAAACTTTGGTCCAAGCTATTTAAAGGAACATTTGATGAATAGAATATACATCTTTCCATTATCAAGCTGGGCTTTTGTCTCTGTTTCCTGAGTCACCAATTTGGAAATGACCACTTGATATCAGTCCTATTTTAGCAAATGTCTGTTGGAAAAGGGGCCATCATTGTTTTAAAAAGCTCAGCTATGATGAACCTGAATTAATTTTAATTAAATTTAGAAACATAAATTCCTGCAAAGAATAGGTAGATTTTCTGGTCAAAAAGCTGTTCCTTTTTTAAGTTGCTCTCTGCATTGTAGCAAAAAAAAAAAAAAAAAAAAAAATCAACACAAAATTTGTGTTTTTTAGTATGTGCATCCAGGCAACAAATGCGTCACTCTAATGTACTGCTATAACAAGAAGCACCACTTCAGCCACACAAAATAGCCAACCACAAGGAAGAAGCAAAAAATAGAGATAAGTGCCAAGGAATCATGGGTCAAAAAGACCTCAATTATAGGACAGTACATTTTTTTTTATTGCAACAATTACAATAAACCTGCTTCCTTCCTTCTTTATGAACAACTTATTTGTAAAGAACCAATAACACTTTGACATTTCTGAAGTTTTGCAAGAAGACCCACAAGGCACCTTTTTAAACTCAGAGATTTGAGAGGAACACAATCAGACCCACAATATATTTACTCTGTTTCCCCAAAAGAAGACATCCCCTGATAATAAGCCCAATTGGGCTTTTGAGCGCATGGCAATAAGGCCAAGCACTTATTTCAGGGTTAAAAAAAAATATAAGACAGGGTCTTATTTTCAGGGAAACACGGTATTTCTGGAAAGGTTGTACACAAAATGGACCTCATATCTGGGAAGTTCAAAACATACTTTGAACATTTGTTTGTGAGAGCTCATCGTCATATGTTCCTAGTTTCTGTACAAAATTCAGGCTTAGGAACCATTTTTATGTAATGTTTTTTCAAAACATTGCCTTCAACTCCTCTCCCCCATATCCATGGCAGTGTAAAGTAATATGTAGCTATTTTAGCTTTAAAGCAATTTCCCTCTTCTCCTGACACAATTGTTATTGGAGAGAGAATGTAGAGTGTTTTATTGACAATGAGGTTGGGAATGCATCAATGGCCACCTGTGATTTGCCTAGCTCCTGTTGGCTACTTTAAGTTGCCTTCTATGCAGTAGTACTGACCCCCATGGCCATTTTGGCATGGACAGCCAAATAATTTATTTCCACAAAGACTCTGGTCTGTGTAATGGTCAAAGCTAAAATGAATAAGCATTTGTTGTATGACTGAGCTACATGAACCTTAAATTCCTAGGGACGTTCTTTCCTCTTCCCAGTGTGAAATGCACATTTTAAGAATCCAACCTCTTCCTGTTGGAGAGGTTGAATTATATTAGAGAAAAGACATTCACTTGTGTCAGTAGCATCTTAGTCTCTCCTTTAGTATGTGGCTTTTGCCTTGGTAGACCTGTGAGACACAAAGTGAGAGAAAAACATTGCTTGGGTAGATAGTGAAGAGAAAATGTTTTTCTGTGAATTCAGAAATTTTGTACATTGTCTCTGTCTGAACTATGCTAGGCAAGGATGGCAGTAGCAGAAAGTGGCTATAGCAGTAGAAAAGCAACGATTTCATGTTACCCAGCACACATAATATAGATTGTGACAATCATGGTTAGAAGGCCCTTCTCTCAGTCTTCATATTCTGGTCATTTCCCACATGGACTACTCCAAGGCATTCTACATGGGACCAATACTTGAAGAATATCTGGAAGCTGCAGCTGGTGCAGAATATGGGCACGCTAACAATTTTGCACATTCTGAAGATTGTACCTATAATACCTCTGCTGTATATGCTACATTGAGTGCCAGTTTGGTTCCAGGTCTGAATAAAAACATTGAATTTAAAGCCCTTCATGGCATGGGACCAGGTTACTTCAGAAACTGTGTTGTCCCAATTATATTGATCCATCCCACCCAGTCCGACAGGGAAGGTATATATGGGCAGTGCTGATTAAATAATTTCAATTGGCAACATCTAAGAAGAAAGCCTTCTCTGCTGCTGCCCCTGCCCTCTAGAACATCATTCCTCTCAAGGTAAGATCTGCCCCCACCTCTTGGCCTTCTGAAAAGGCCTTAAAACCTGGCTCTGCTGATGGAGATGCTAGTGGGTTAAGAAGAAGATTCATCTCCACCCCATTCTGTACTGGTTCCTACCTTAGCTAATTTTTGTTAAGTTAAATTTTAATATTTATCATATTGTAAACTACCCAGAATTGCTTGATAGTGAGCTGGACAGTATATACATTTAATTAATTAATATCTTGCTCGCAGAAATGAGGTTCCCCCACCTCTTTTGGAAGAACATGATGACTTTGGCTCTGTCAATTGATGCAAGAACTAAAGAATAGCAGGCAAAGTAGGGGTTGGTTTCTGACCTGAGGATGCTTCCTCTATCTTTTAACTAAGTTAAACTTAACTTTTTAAACTCTGTTTTATGTTGTTCTTTACTCGATTTTAATTTTGCTTTTAATTAAGTCATGATTTAATTGATTTTATGGTTTGTATTTGTAAACAACCCAGAGTCACTTGGATAGTGAGATGGGTGGTGTCTAAATTTGATAATGAAATTATAAAATAAAATAAATCGATGGCTACTATAGGAATAGAAATATTTAATGTAAGTAAGTAATACTTACTTTTTTTGTTTTAGTTTTTTACTGTCCACTACATAACCAGGCACTTAAGATAGTTTCCTCATTAGCCCAGCTTATTTATGATCTTGGAGACCAACTTAGGGGAAAAAAATGAAAAAGAAGTTGAAAATGATTTGAGGAAGGGATGTGATGATGAACAACAGTTGGACATTTTTCTTCCATCCACAAATTTTCCTCCTGCAATTAATGAGTATATCTTCCCCTTTTTATTAGTAATAGCAGGGGTGAAATTCAGCCGGTTCTCTCTGACTCGGGTGAACCGGTAGCGGCGGCTGCAGGAGGCTCCGTCCACCCACGCGGAGGTCATGATGTCCCTTTTTTTTGTGACATTTTAAGCCTCTGTGCATGCGCAGAAGTCTTTGTGCATGCGTGGCGTGCACACATTTGCAAACCGGTAGGGAAGGTAAGTGAATTTCATCCCTGAGTAAAAGGTTAATTAAAAACAAACCCATGAAGATATCCATATAGTTTTTTTTGCAATCATGTGGAATTGGTTTCTCAAGGTTTCGTTGTTGTTTCTGAACTTTACTGCACAGCCTGCAGCCATAGATTTTTTTGTAAGTGGTCTCCCATTAAGACACTTTGCAGGTTTAACCCTGCACAGATCATCCAAGCTGATATATTCTATTGCCTGTTGCAGGTACACTAGCACTACAAGGAGACTATCCCTGTGCTGATTTTGCAACCAGTGACTCTATCTAAACAATTATACATTATTCTGATTGGTTTTTCTCTCTCTTTCTCTGTGTATAGATCTAAACTGAATGTGACATATTTAGGATATTAACTTGAGTAATTCTTCCTCTTAAACCTCTTCCCAGGTGAGCTTCAGCATTGAAGCGAAGGTCCGCGGTTGTCCAAAGGACCGGCAGACCTCTTTCACCATTAAGCCAGTGGGCTTTGAAGACAGCCTGACAGTTCTGTTGAACTTTAACTGTGACTGTGCTTGCCAGAAGTTCGCTGAACCTTATAGCAAGATCTGTAACAATGGGAATGGCACCTTTGAATGTGGGATGTGCCGTTGCCACCCAGGCCGGCTAGGTTCCCTCTGCGAGTGCTCTGAGGAAGAATATGGCCCATCCCAGCAGGACAATTGCAGTCCCAGTCAGGGGCAACCACTTTGCAACCAGCGGGGAGAATGCATCTGTGGCCAATGTGTTTGCTACAGCAGTGACTTTGGCAGGATATCAGGCAAATACTGTGAATGTGATGACTTCTCCTGTGTTCGCTTCAAAGGGGAACTATGCTCAGGTGAGTGGCATCAACCTGAGGGAGTGGGATGGGCTTCTAAGAGCTGTACACACCCGCAAAGAAGAATGGTTTTTCCCCCCTTTCTGTCTTAAAAAAACACTAGAATGTTTAAATACAATACTAATGTAACAAATCAGGTAGTCCTTGAGCCCAAAATTTCTGTTGTTAAGTAAGACATTTGTTAAGTAAGTTTTGCCTCATTTAATAACCATTCTTGTTATACTTGTTAAATGAATCACTGCAGTTGGTAAGTTAGCAACCCGGTTGTTAATAAATCTGGCTTTCCCACTGACTTGCTTGTCAGAAGCTCGCATGACTTTGGGACACAGCAGCGGTCATAAATATGAACCAGCTGCCAAGCTTCTGAATTTTGATCACATGATCATGGGGATGCTGCAATGGTCATAACTGTGAAAAACAGTCAATAGTCACTTTTTTCAGTGATGTAACTTCGAACGATCATTAAACAAAGTCAAGGACTACCTGTATAATCTTTAAATATAACAATTTATATTTAAAGGTTAGATAAGATAAACGGGAAAAATGCAAAGAGCAAAGAAAGAAAATATCATGATTTCCATCTTTCTTTCTATTGAGTTGTTCCATCATTCCTCTTTATAACCCTCTTCACCTACAGGGAGGGAGGGAGGGAGGGAGGGAGGGAGGGAGAGAGGGAAGGAAGGAAGGAAGGAAGGAAGGAAGGAAGGAAGGAAGGAAGGAAGCCTTGCAAAGTTCTTTTGATTAGAACTGACACTGAAAAAATGATGTATGTGTTTATACTGTGGGAAGCTGCAGTGTTCTCAAAACACACCTGCAAAAATGTAAATTCTTCAGAAAACACTTCATAATTAATAATCATAAATAGGATCAGAAACATCTGTAAGGAGGTCATAAGGGGGCAAATAACAAAAAACATGTTGCTCTATCACAATGCATTCTTTTTGTATGTATATCATGACATTACGCACATGTATGTAGGGATAAGAAATATTTAGTATTTGGTACACCTTTCCAATACCTAGGCTTTTACATTTTTATTAAGGAATGGCAATCTTTCACAGCATTCTCAGCAGCTCACATAACCAATTCATAACAACAACTGAGAGGAACAATTCAAGAACATTTGGAGAACTAAAGTGCCTCATTTCTGGAGTATATTTCAGGTGTTTTATGACATAATCATGTGGTTTGAAAAATAATAGAAGGTGCTATCTTTTTATTTCTCTATTTTTGTCCAGGCTGTGAGTAAGTGCAGGAGTGTAAGTATATCACAGATTATTCACTCTCCTTCTAGCTAAAGGATAACTCAGATATTTAATTATCATTGGGATTGTAAACACACAGATGCAAAGTTATTTATGTTTGCCAGAGCAAGTTGGAATAACTATAAACATATATAATTTGTCAAACTTGTGCTTTACTAAATTATTTGAGAAAGAACTGAAAAATCTGTTCCTTAAGAAAGAATTAAATCACAACCTTGGTATAGTAGGAGTTAGCAAAAAGCATTTGCTCCAAAAGCAAGCTAAAACTTGCTGCTTAAGGAAAAAAAAACAGTTAAACACTGTTTCCTACAATATAACCATTAACTTAGTGATCCAGATAGAACTCAATTTGCTTTCATGAAAGAGGGGGAAAGTGTTAGAAGCAGCTATCTATTTGGAACTCATGACTGCTTTGTGTGTGTGACTCAGTGTTAAAGGAAACAATTGCTGTGATTTGATTATAAGAAGTGGAGGGATTGTACTAGAATCTTGTGTCTAGAACAACAACTCATTCTATTCCATGGAAGTTTCTGTGCGTGCTATAAAATACAACTATTGTGCAATGCGGGATGTCAGAATGTTCCTCAAACATTGCTAAAACAGGCTGGCCAGGTACACATCTCACAATTTAATCACTGTGGTTTTTTCCCCCCAGAAACTTATTGTACTGTTATTTTTCTGTTAAGTCTGTTCAGTGGCTACCAGGACAATTAGAATTGATCTGGGCTGCAAAGTCTCATTTGGACCTAATTTTCCACTTGAGGAAAACAGCCATGGCTGCTTCTGCTTAATAATAAACAGCCAGGACACAGCTAGAGGGCACAGTTTTGTACACAGTAATCTCAGGATTGCAATTGCAACTTGGTACTACAAAGGGAAGGAAGGTACTTGTTTTTCTCAAGAACCCTTTGTCCAACTATTTTTAACTTGCTCTGAGAAAGATGCTAAGAGGCACTAATTGTCTTAGATATATGACCAAAAATGAATGTGGGGTTCTTACTGCTCTTGGAGCTTGGTTGATTTCCTGCAGAAGTTTCATTAGCAAACTACATAACATCAGCAGTGGAGTTTGATCAAAACTGAATGTGAATTCTGAATGGTTTTGCCATATCCCTTAGTGGCCCTGCTGTTACTGTATACTTCTAAGAGCAATCTGTTGTCCAGATGAAGATGTTCCTCAACAAGGAACTGGGAAAGATTTCTCTATCATATTACATTTCTTTGTGACATGGGACTTCAATTAATCTTGTGTATGAGAGCAAGTTAAGTGAAATGGCTCGCAAATCTGATTCTGAGATGTGAAGTTTAACTGGAAAATCCAAAATCTAATCAGACATCTGTAATTGTTCCAAGAGCCATTTCTATTTTTGCTATTCAACTTTCCAACCCTTCCCTTCAATATCTTTTGATGAAGCCATTGTCTCTTGGTTTATTCCAGACAAGTAATTATTTCTTAACTATGTGACAAACTCACAAACTGTTTCTAATATTGTATACATTTTCCTGGTACTGCTAGAGATTTTGTTCCACCCAGCTGCTCATTCAGCTCATTTTCCCCATGATTCACTGGAATTTCTCATTGACTAATCTTCATTATCATTCATCCTCTGCAGAGGGGGCTGCTGTCTGTGTGGCTATTTGTCTGTTTGTATGCCTGCCTGTCTATCTGTCTGCCTCTCTCTCCCTCCCTCCCTCCCTCCGTTCATGAATTTGTATTAGTAGGTAGGTCAATACTATAGGAAAAAAAATACTTCCGCTGGTTATTTTTGTAAAGGCCTCTAAGCTTTCCTCCCATAATGCAATAATTTTCCGATTCTAATGACTTCACTGCTTCAGTAGTTTCAAAGGGTCAGTGCATAGCTGAACAAAGTGTATGCAAGGGCAGGTCCTAGTTATTTGGCTACTATTAAGAGCAGACACTTCATTGCCTTTAGCTTTCCTTGTCCTAGATCAGTGTGCTAGCTGATGAATTCTGGGATTTGAAGTCCCCACGTTTTAAAATTTCTGAGGAGATTGAGAAACACTCTTCTAGAGACACAATTTTGCACTATCTACAATGGCTAAATTAATAATTATATTTCTGGGATGATATCAGAGATGTTAAAATAAGTGATCCTGTTGTACCATTACAGACATTTTGGTGAGTAGAAGCTGGTGAGTCTCAAATGAGATAGACAAAAAGGTCTCCCTTACATACTTGAGAATCTGACTTTTCAACCTTTTTGTGTTTTTAATTAATTGTGTGTGTGTGTGTGTGTGTACATATACATAAACACACACACACACACACATATACACACACCAACATGCAGTACTGCATCCTGAGATATGACTCAGCTCTAACTGTATGCATAAAATGAAGAGGAGTTGGTATCATAAGTCTTGGGAAACTAGTTTAATCCTGCTTGGAATGTCTGAAGGGAATCCTGACAGACTTTGAAGCCAATCTTTGGAAGAAGCCTTTAGAGTTCTTTGGAGAAAATAGGGAGAAATTGTCAATAATAAAGTAATAAGAAACTTTTCCGGTTACTAACATTTGTATGACAAAAAAAGATCAGAAAATAAGAACCACTTCCCTAAAATCAGTCAATGATCTCCAGAAAGTATGTTATCCTGTTTAACTTTTATATTTGTTTTCCATGTGATTGAGGAGAGAGATTGGGAAGTAGAAGGGAATTGACTCCTTTCATGCTAAAATTGAGATCTTAGCATTAAAAAATAAAGTTTTCTGAGAAGTATCCCCTTCTTCTCCCTTCCCTTCCATGGCCTCCAATACAGACCCATTTTCATATGATTGTTTGCCTGTAGGACATGGGAAATGCATCTGTGGAGACTGTGCCTGCAACCCTGACTGGACTGGAACATATTGCAACTGTACAACTCGGACAGACACGTGCATGTCCAGCAATGGGCTGATGTGCAGTGGAAAAGGCCGTGGATATTGCGCCTGTGGAAAATGTGTCTGTACTCAGCCTGGCTCTTACGGAGATACCTGTGAGACGTGCCCAACCTGTCCTGATGCCTGCACCATCAAAAAGTGAGTGCCAAATTCTGATTTGGTTTCATGAGAAAGAAACCAGTTCTTAGGGTTTGAGTCTTAGGACTTTCCAATTACTCATAATCCTAGGAATGGTACCTGCATTCCTCAGGAAAGAAATTGATTTTTATTCAGTAATGACCTAATTTCAAGATTAGTCCTCTGAACTAAATTTCAAAAACACTTTGGAACTTTGGACTTCTAACCAAATTATCTTGGTCCCCTCAACAGCAAAGAACACTAAGGAGGCTGCTTGTGATATTGCCTATAGCCCTTAGAAGATGGCCCCTAGACTTGCCATACATGAAACAAAGATTAAGTTTGGAACAAGTTTGTTCTCAAACAGCCCCAAGCTTTCAGATGCATTATATTTTAGCTGTTATACTGCTTTTCTCTAACACCAGGGTCTGAAATTCAGGATATTTAGAAGTATTAATGATTTGGATTTTCAGACTCAATGAGCACACAATATAGTCAAACCTTCCTCACTTTTTGTCTTCACTGACAATCCAAATTCAGGAAGGGAGAGATGCAATGGGAGTGATATAAGTGATGATGATACATATTCAGCAAAATTCCTTAAAATTCAAATGATCACATGTGCTATAGCTTCAAACGTACAAGTCCTAAATATTCTGCATTGTCTGATGAGATGTGTGTTACAAACCTGTTTCTTATTTTAGTGTATGTGCTGCTGAAGTAAGCACAGAAAACTTCTTTCTGATCATTTGATAATGATTCTTTTCAGAATCAGGGACACTGAAGTACCCTCTCATTAGTAATATCAGCATTTAATAAGATCAAGTACCTTCCTAGGATAACCATTATAAATTAAAATGGCAGTCGATAAATGGCTTTGAAGATTGCACTTGATTTTCAAGGATATACTGTATTGACACATGGAATCTGTAGGATCTTGCTGCTTTTGTCAAAATGAGGAAAGCAATGTTGCACAATTAGGCTGCAAATCAAACCTTTTTATACATAGGTGCAACCATGTTTGCGAAAAGCGCAGGCTTTGCACTGCAATGACGCAATAGTGCCTCCATTCTATACCTCTTGCTCTTCCTGTAAATGTGGCAATAGTGAGCTGAGGGTTAAATGCATAATAAGTGATGATCAGTTGTGGAGACTTTAAACTTTTTAAACTGTTCTCCTAAAAGATTGTGTCCATGCCTCTCCCTAAATTGGTAGTATGAGGGCCTGGAATGAAGCTCTCTGCCTATACTTGACAGGCCAATAGGAATAAAGTCTGTAGAGTCATCCCTCAGATCTTTTTAAAACAATGACTGCTATTTCCAAATCATTGGGGATCTGGCCATGCTTGTGAATGAATGTCAATATTTGCGAACAGCAAGAACAAATTGGAGTGCACTTTCTGAATTGTTTTTTTATCTGCTCAAATCGGGTTAGATCATATCCCAGGAGCCTTCCAAAGTCTTAACAATCTTAATCAAATTCCTAGTGTGTGATGACATTATTAATGGCCACTCAGATAAATTGTCTAAATCCCATTCATAACATTTATAAGTCAGTATCTCCTCCTTGTAGAATTAACTGAAATACCTTTCTCAGGTTCCTGGTAAAATATTTTAACTGTTCGTTAATTTGATATTACATTTTTTGCTGTCTATCTCACTGCAAAATGACTATATAACAGTAAAATTGTCTGTATCATCCATAACTCATTTTCTACAGTGAGATACTAAAATAGGGCTGGGAATTTTGTCTAACTTGTCTGAAAAAGTTCTGTACCAATTGTTCTTTCATAGTATTTCTTTCCTAGCAGTGAAGCAATTTCTTAAATAGTTTTTTGTTTTACTTAAGAAGATTCTGAGCAGATAGTACATTATTCTTGTGTTCTTTCCACATGCATAACACCTATGGTGACCATGTTTTCTTTGCTAAAAATAAAGGAAAAATACCCAAAAAGGGAGGAAATCTGAAAGAATCAAAATTTTAAACTGTTTATAATTGGGCTTTATGGAGGTAGATTCTGGAACAAAACCAAGAAAAAATATACATACGCATATGCATAAAATATAAAAATGCATATTCTAATAAAAATATCTAAACTCAGACAGTACAGGTAAATTTATTTTTAAAAAACAATTCAATTTCCATATTTTTCACACGAATGTGAAAGAATGTGCATTGTGGTACCAATTCTACAGTACAAGTTTAATACCAAAAAAAAAAGGACAAACGTAAGTTTTTTTTGGGATGGGGGGGATGATGTAAGGTCACTATAATTACAGCTGGCAAAAACCTTTTTTTTTTTTTTGGCTTTTCTATTTTTGCTTCAACAGATTTAGTGTTGAACCCACAATTTAGAGTAAGATAATGTGGACTAACAATGTTAGGTTAAATAGGTTGTTTTTGTAATCCTTACACTGTCTTGCTATATATGGAAACAGGAAGTTCTGCTGAAAGCAAAGAAAGATATGAAGTGCTGGAAATGTCCTGCAATAATACAGTCTGCAATTACTTTGTCCACATGGAGGACAACCGTCTCTTTCTGCTGGGAAAAAAAAGTGATAAAAGATTTCAGCATTAATCTGAGACCCATGGTTCAAACTGTCTAGTTTTTAAAGGGGTCACTGTCTGAGGAAAACAGTGGTCGGTCAGTCAGTCAGTCAGTCAGTCAGTCAGTCTGTCCGTCCGTCCGTCCGTCTGTCTGTCTCTCCCTCCCTCCACCCCTTCTCATATAGCTGCCCACCTTATAACCAACTCTGGATGGTTTCCAATCAAAAATACAATGATCTGCATTTCTTCTCTTTTATATCCTTCATATCCCTATTGTCGCTCTCTACAAAGCTGTACAGAGTTCAAACTATATTTTATCTTTCCCATTTTCTATTTGTACTCCATCAGAGTCTTTACTGTTCAGGTCACTTTTTCTACTTGCTTATTTCTGGCTAGTTTACTTTTATTCCTGGGCTTTTTGGTTTCTGTTTATTCTATTTAAACAATCTGTTTATTCTGCCTGCTCATTCTGTGGCCGGGACTATCAAACTCCCCTCCCGGGTTCTGCTGCTTGATAGGCAGCTGAGTTGTCCTGATGCTACTGGAGGGGCTGGGAAGAGGCAAGCAGTGGCAGCCTATCTCTCCTCAATCAATGATTTTGTTACTTTTATTGACCAAAGCATGTGTGTGGGGGTGGATTGTTTGCATAAATAAAATCATTATCAGGAATAAAAATCTCCTTCTGTAATGCTGCTCCTTGTGTGATAAGTTACCACCTTTCCTGGTGGTAACTATAAGATCCTGGTGCATCTCTAGATTGGGTGTTTAAATTAAGAAAGTTTAAATCTGTATGTTACATGTGTCAGCTGTAACTTAAACAGAAATTGGCTTGATTGCTGGTCATGTGGCTGCAGCAGTACTTCAGTAGGCACAATAGTAACCTGCAGCTCTTGTCATCTTGGTTAGGATTGTCTCTTAGGATTGATTGTCCCTTGCATGCAGATTTGTTCTCCAAGTAATCCATTGGTGCCTCCAGTGCCTTACTATCACATCTACTGCCCTTTCATAAGACTTGAGCTGACAGCCAAATTGTGTGAGAAATGGGGTCTGATCACATCACCTGATTCATACTGAGGGTTTTCCCATCCCTTAATTATGCCCGCTGAATCAGAATCATTATCTTGTGAGCACTTGTAGGCATGTATTCAAATTTTTTTATGTCTGTTTATCCTCTGGATGAATCTGAATGCTCATTATTTTCTGTTCTGTTTCCTGTTCCATGTCCATCTGCCCTATGTCACGTTCCCCACTGGATTGCATTGGGCTATTATCTGCTTTTTTTAATTGATAGGAAACCGTATCCTGCATGCTGATTCACAGTTTTAATAATCACTGGGTGCTGAATGTTGTCACTTGTTTATGTCTTTTCTTGTTGGTACAAATTTTTTAGAATGGTTTTGTTGCAGTTACAACTGGAATCAGCATAGTTTTTATTGCCTCTACTCATGAAGATTTTGTATTATTGTTCCTGTTCAAAGTGGGAAAGAATTTTAAGAGTGGATCAGAGCTTTTTCATCTGTTTCTTCTGCTTCTTCTTTCTTTTTCTGCTCAGGTTTCTATTTATATGACCTTGAGGCTGACTGTAGCCCATGTCTTAACTGAACCTGATAACATATCACTTCCTGTTCCATATGTCATCTCCACTGGGTTCATGCTTCAATAAAAGAAAGTCATTTGTTTCCTCAGGAAATGAACAATTTCAATGGTAGAGCAGGACACTTAAAAGTCAATACGATTCTTTAATAGACTCTATGGGAAGCCAAGTCATTTCTCTCAGATTACTATGGTAAATCTGGCATCATAGAAGACAGGCAAGTGAAGACTACACGTAGTCTTCAGACACAATCATAAAGAACTTATGACTTCACTTCTGCCACAATGATTAAGCAAATCATTCACAGTTATTAAGTGAGACATCCCATGAACATGGCTTATGCCTTTCAGCCTGCTTCTCCATTGACTCTGCTGGCCAGAAGCTATCTGTGAAGAGCACAAACAGTATTCACAGCACATCCTTAGAGGTACTGCAATTGTTCAATAACCAGTTGTAAAATTACTTTTTAAGCACCATCCTAACTTTGCAGGATCACTAAAGAGGGCATATGTTAAATGAGGACCACCTGTTTGTTAATGCAAGTTTATTGTGCCATTTGCCCTGAATTAATACTTGAAATTTGACTATCTGTAGTTTGATGCTATTCAAGTGCAGCATCTAGAGTTATTTTATTCTGAAATTTGCATGCTCATTTCAGGAATGTAAATTGCCATCTTTGAGTACCACAATGAAGGAATAACTCTTTTTATTCTTTATTGCTAACTTTTTTTATTCCCAACCTAGATTTCCCCAACCAGATTCATTATATATTTTTTCATTATATTTGCTATAATTCTCATTCTCCTATAATTTATCCTCCTGTACGTTTTTTTCCATAAGCTCATCTATTTTGTTACTGGTATTTATGGATTGTGGGAAAAGTGAGATAACAATATCAGTAAACAGTGTTAAACCAAAAAAAGATGAGCTTAACCAATGGATATTGTTTTCCTTTGTTGCTGTTCATTCAACAGGAATGATGGCTTTTCACCATCCCAATAGTGCAAATTGTTCAAGAATAAAAAAAGTTGCAACTCACTTGTCAATCTAAATGAAACACTTCCTCTGTTCGAAGGGGTTCAGAGCTTCCGGTTCTGAGCTTTCCATGTTGTAATTCTTTTTTGAACTTGGTAGCCATTCGCTATTATATTTCTCATCTCCATTTCAATACATTGCTTCTCTCCCAGGTTTTGCAATGATAAAACTAAATAGATGCTACCTCACCAAAAAAAAAAAAAAAAGCACTAAAATGAGGCAAGTAAGTCAAGTATGGCAGGAACTCTACTGTATTTTAATTACTGTAACTATTGCATTGGATATCACAATTTTTCAATTGGGTTACTTTCAGTGATTCTAACCAAGAGCCTAGGACTCATGGAACAACAGCAGCAGCAACAACAACAATTTGGACTATATATATGGTGCACATTTAGAAGTAATAACTTAACTGTACTATAGCTGTATCTAACCATACTGAGAAAGAGGGAAATTGTGGTTACTGCCGTGCAAATGCTATTGAGATGTAATACACAGATTTCTTATGTTCTTTCAAAATGTTCTTTAACCAGGTTTGATTAAGTAGCCCTTCAAATGAAGAGTGCATCCTCAATAAAATAAAATGCATGCCCCATCTAGTCATATGCAACCAAGAAACTAACAGGTAACAGAGTAAGACATCATAGAGTTGTGAGAGCAGGAGGAGACCTAGACTAGAGAGAAGTCATCAAATTCCAGGTTTTATAGGGATGGGACATGGCAGCAATAATTGCTATTGCTCCCTGTTCTCCTTGCTCATGACTCTTTCTTCTGCACAGGGAATGTGTGGAATGCAAGAAGTTTGAGAGAGGAATCCTGATAGACCAAGACACCTGCAACCGCAATTGCCGGGATGAGATTGAGTTGGTGCAGGAACTTGGTATGTAAAAACTATGGCAGGTTTTTTTTTTTTTTAAAAAAAAAACATGGTTGTTTTCTCCTAAATTTTTTTCCTCTTCCTCCTCCTCCCTTTTCTGACTTAGAAACTTTCCAGATGATTCAGTTGCTAAGTTAAAGGAAGGCACTCGTACCTTGGAGAGCATTTAGATCTCCAATGACAAAACCAAGGTTAAGTTGTGAATATTGCCTGCTTGAGATATAGGAAGTCTGCGACTTACAAACATTTGTTTAGCCACTGTGCAAAGTTACAATGAGGCTGAAAAAAGTGAGTTACGACCTGCCTTTGGACTTACAACTGACACAGCGTCCCCATGGTCATATGAGCGCAATTCAGGTGCTTGGCAAGTGGCATGTATTTATGGGGTCGCGGTGTCCCAAGATCCCATGATTGCCATTTTTTACTTTCCCAGATAGCTTCCCACAAGCAAAGTCAATGGAGGGAGCCAGACTTGCTTAACAACCAAGTTATTAGTTTAACCACCATGGCAAAAAAAGGTTTTAAAATCAGGCATGGTCACATGAGTACTCACTTAAAAATCACATTGCTTGACAATGGAAGTTTTACCTCAGTTGTGGTTGTACGTTGAGGACTGCCTGTGGTGTTGAACATAGTTTCAGCACCATCTACCCAAACAATAAACTATGCCTATTCAGGGCTTCTGCCTTATGAAGATTATATCTATATTTATCTATATATCTACACACACACACACACACATACATACATACACATACACACACACACACACACACACATATGGAATTATACATGTGTGCGTGTAATTCCATTTCAAAATTATAGTATATTAGACTTTTGGTCTTTGCAATGTGGACTGGAAGTAGTTAATCTCAGAGTATTCATCATTATCAAAAACCCATTAAGGTTTTAACACAAGAATTCAAGCAAGAACTCTATTTTAAAGGAGACACCTATAAATAGACAAACTATCTCAGCAGAACTCTGTTTCCCTTTGCTTTTTTACATAATAGGGAAGGAGGTTTGTCTTTTTCATGAAGGAGGGGCATTTTGCATATGTAGCTTGTTTTTGGCAACTATTTCTTTTTTTAATATTAGAAAACTATCATCAGCATATCTTCCTTTCTTGTTCATAATTAAGGAAAAGTAGAACAGTGATGTCACATCAATTCCTCCTATAGATGTTAAATTGCATCAGAAATAAGAATTTTTAAAAAAAATTAAATAAAGGATCTTGTAGCCTTTTATCTTCGGACTTCATAGTTAGTTAAGAGTCACTATTCCATCAATTTCCATCTCCAGAATCTATCCAGAAAGAGAACATAATATATAGTATCAGAGATTACTGAAAACCAAGCTGATGCCAGTTATTATTTTTTTAAAAAAGAATCAAAATATTTATAATGCTGCCTTTCTCATAATTTGTGGCTCTGGGTGACATACAAAAGATACTTCTTTTTTTTAAAAAAAAGAATAAATACAGTGATAACCTACCCCAAACCAACAAAATCAAAAACATAAACCTCTAATTGAAGCCAACAATAAAAATATGCATACACATTATAGAACAGTTTCATCTACTATCCTGACCCAAATGCACAGGAGAGCCAGGTCTTTACAGCAATGCCGAAGGCCAAAAGACTCAGGACTATTAGAACCCTGGGTGAAGCTCATTCCAAAGATCAGGTGCCACAGCAGAGAAAGCATGCCTCCTAGGTCAGAGAGGGAATCAGAGCATGCCAACCTTGTGCAGCCTCATGAGATGGACAGAGTTGACTGGGAGTGATGGCTCCCCAATTTATTTATTTATTTGATTGATTAATAGGTTTCCTAACTCTCAAAGCCACTTTATCTGAATAATGCCTGGAATAGATACATAATGCAGGTGCTTCCTACTCCCTCCCTCCCTAGCGATAAGTTAGTCACTTAAATAAGGTCACCAGCTGGTAATATGTGAAAACAATAAGGTGAAGAAATATTTAGTTTCAATATTTCCATTGCCATGAAACAATCAGTAAAAGACTTTTCTCTGTGTTTGGTTGAATTCACACTCCGTAGGCATGGAAGTGGGGGATGTACTTTCGGTCTTGCAAGATTCTGTTAATATAGCTTTACAATAAAATATAACTAGCTCATCTTACTGTGTTTCCTGTCTGATCTGCCCCTCAAAGCTGACAATGGCTGATGCCAGACCCAAAACTAGGTGGGCATATTTCAGAGAAGAATGTCCCAACTCCCCATGCCCAACAAACAAATCTTGATGGAACATATCAGGTTTGCTCCCTTCCATGATTAAGTTGTGAATAGGCTTTATTACAGGCTGTCTTGGCATTAAAACGCAGCAGCCATAAACCAGAACCACCTAAAATCCAATGACTGAATACTAGGGCAGTACGTAGGAGCCTGGAAATGGAACTGGCACCCATCCAAATACATTCGTTGTTATCTTCCAACAAAAGGTTATTCATTAGGACAACTCCAGCAACTTCCATGCTAGAATCCAGCCTGAAACCAACTGGTAATGGATCCAGATAAATGGTCTAGTAATCTACAATAAAATGTCTGAGAAGCCTACTAAAAATAAAATAGTACAAATTAGCTGATAGAGATTAAAATAAAAGGAGGCTGTTTCAAGAAGTAAATTTACAGGCATTTTAACTGCCTGTTGGAAGCAGTCAATCAGTCCCCTTCAGCTACATGTAATTAGTCAGGAAAGGTTTTAAAAGTCAGGAATTAGGCCACAGTGCTGCAGCAATCAAGAATAAAATAACCCCACAAAGAGTGAAATGTTTGTGTTCTGGACATATTCCTGGATTAAATAAATAATGGTGTAAGATTTTGCTTATGGCAAATATGCATGAATTTTTCTTCTTCAGATATATCACTGCCCACTTACTGAAAGTTTTTTAATAATGCCTTACTCTATTTACCCAGAGTAAGGCCAGAATTATTGAGAAAACACTGTTAAAAATATTACTGTTTAAGGATGAAAGGATGTTGGTGAAGCATCCACAATTATTGTTGCTGGAAAGTAGACTATATAATGAATATAATTTCCTGAGAATTTTGCTCTACTCTTAACTTCTTTCATTTTCAGTCTGCTTATTGGAAAACCAGAAAGCTAGCCTAGCTTTGCAGAACAGAAGATGACATTCAGGCTGATCCTATTAAGTCAGCTTCATATTTTGCAGCAAAACTGGAACTTTGATGTTAGTACCAATAATGTCGACTATTCCAATAGCACCCAGGAATTTGGATTTAATTGGCCTATAGGAGAAGCATCCTAATGGGCCCATCATTTTGGGAGAAGTGAATGATGGCTGAAGATCTGCAACTTGAGAAGGGGTTTAAAAGAAATTCTTCTATATTTTCACACTTCTTTTGAGAATAGCAGATACAAAATGTGATGTGCCACATGGATCAATGATAATTGACACATGTCTGGCAAAACAGTCTTTACATACATAGATGGTGAGATGTGTCAGAGTCACCTTATTTCTTTAACACCCCTAGTGACATATCTAGATCTAAATGCTAACAATTTCTTGAATAGTGTCAGGGAACTAAATGTTCTTTCCTTTGTCCTCTTCTGCAGGAGACAAGGGGAAAGATGCTGTGAATTGTACATACAAGGATGAGAATGACTGTGTAGTGTACTTCCAATATTATGAGGACTCCAGTGGCAAATCTATCCTCTATGTTATTGAGGAACCAGGTGAGGGCCAAGGGCCACTAAAATAAGTCTTCATTTTGGATTTGTTGATACTTGTTGATACTTGCAGGATGTGGAATGCCAGAACTCAGCTTGGTATTTCATATTAATTTGGAATGTATGAGAGAGATGATTACAGTGACAAGTGAGGTTCTTAAATTCATGCTTAGAGGAACTTTATTTGAGAACAATATATGGCTATGGAAAAACCCAGATTCTAACTGAGACATGGGATGAAATACCTTGGTTTCAGTATATTAAATACCTTTAAAACCAATTATGAACATAACTGTACAAGCTCAACATGAATACAAAACCCAAAAGTGGTTCATATTATAATAAGATAAGAGCTAGTTGACATCCTACTTTCCTTTTTCCAGCCCCAACTTTCACCAGCCCCATCACCATTTTCACTGGAGCAGGGACTTCAGAGATTTTTAGAGATGAAAAAAAAAAGGCATCTAAAGATGGGAGGTTATTTCTTTATAAAATGAGTTTTCTCCCGCCTTTTTCCTTCAAAAGGTGGGGAGGAAAGATCCTTGCTATCTCATTAGAAATTAGTAAACTCACAATTTTCCATTCAGATTACTTTTTTTTGACAAGGTACATAATCATGTGAAAACAATAAATGGTTCATGGATTAACATCTGCAGAACAAAAGGATTAGGAGGAGACAGATCCAATCATCATTAATTGTGGCCAATCAATTCAGAAAGAGATCATCGCTAGAATTTTTGGGAAGATCCTATTTCCCCTTAGCCTAGGACAGCAAGGTAGGTCAATGACAGTGAGGCAAACTCATTCTCCAACCTGAACTCATATTGGGAAAAAAATCTGAATTATCAGATGTTTTAAACAAAATTTACCTAAGCGGTATATCTGATTTCAATAGTTCATAAAGATGGCAGTATTCTGTATTTCTTATTGCAACATTAATTTAGTTCAACATGAATATAGTTCTGACTAAAGAGCAGTGATTCAATCCAGCAACTTTCAGTTCAGAATTAAAAACATCATCCGTCATTCATGGATGGAAATATTTTTTTAACCCAGCTGCTGGATTTGTCTGCTTTGATATTTGATTTATGACTAAATGCGAGTCCTGTCTCTGCTTGCTGAGAGATGAGCAAACAGGACCACAGACACTGACTCTGCCATAAACTCCAATAAGACAAAATCTCTTTCTGCGTGCTTGTGAGCATGAAGGGCACACTAGAAACCTTCAAAGAGTGTGTTCTAAGCCCAAAGAGGGTGATAAAGCTTTCATTAGTTGCCAAAAGCATGGAATAAATGATATACCCTCACCACATGGTATTAACTTGGCCGATGACTCAGACTGCACTTAAAAGGTTGACAACGATGGAGTCTCAGGCAGATTCTGAAGGAGCTTAGCCAGACCTCCTCGGACAGCAATTTGAATCCAGCTAATACCTCATGGGGAAACCACAAAAGCTGCCATGCTTCCTATCATTGCCTGGGACCTTTAAACCTCTCTTCCCCTTAAGTGAATATTAAATAGAATGATGTAGTTAGGAGGGTTGGAGATATTTCAGAAAGTAGAAAAATTTCTGGAAATGAAATGATGGAAGAAATTGATTTGTCAAAACTTGTTTGATAGGATAAGCTGTTGGAACCTGCAACTTTCCTGGGTCATTGAAAGTAAATGATTTCCCTAATTCCGCTTTAAATTCTCACAGGAACTATGCGCTGCTGTCATCTTGGACATATTTTTTTCTATTGTATTGACTTTGCTGTCAAAAAGAGTTTGTTAATATCAAAATTGGATGTTTTCTCCCACTATGTTTAGAGGATCAGATCAAAGACATACTTTCGTTTTGTCAAACTACTGTACTCCCTTTAGGCTGAAGAGCAGATGGCTCTAGAATAACATTTTGTAAAAAAGATGTTAGAACTGATATATTTAAATCATGCATCAGGCTAACTCCTGAATAATTGTGCAGCTATTTGAAAACCATTGATGGGTTATTTATTCCTGTTAGCCACCACTTAGCATGAAGGAAAGTCTGACATGTAAGGTGAGTACAAAGAGTTTTTATAAATGGTTCATTCTTGCTACAAAACATCCATCTTTCCCACCATAACAATTATGTGTCAGGTATTCATGGCACAGAATTAGAGAACAAGCGCTCCAAAAGATGCTTGCAGAAGAAGTCTTCTAGTAGTTTCTGACTAGTTATATGCTTATAAATCTAACAGTAATCTTTGATTGCTGCTCCTCAGTCAGGATTTCCTTTGGTACAGCAGCTTGATCAAATGGATGTATGCATATCTTTAGGTGAACTAAAGTTAAGAATGTAATGGTCGGGGGGGGGTGGTAATTTATAGCTTTGCAATTCTGTTTTATGATACAAAATGTTTTCTACAGATTGTCCCAAAGGACCTGATGTCTTGGTAGTTCTCCTTTCCGTAACTGGAGCCATCTTACTTATTGGCTTGGCTGCTTTGCTCATCTGGAAACTGCTTATTACCATCCATGACAGACGAGAATTTGCCAAATTTGAAGAAGAGCGTGCCAGGGCTAGATGGGACACGGTAAGATATATCAGAAGAGTGTAAGGAGACAGAGAGCAAATATTTTGCTTCATCCTAAGTGGAGGGAAGGTTGCAATGACTTATTTTTTTTATTTCCCTGACATAGCAACCCATTGCTGATTCCGAATCATCCATACTGCAATATATATCAGTTTTATTGTATCTTGAGGTTGTATTGTTAGCATTCTCTCAATAGTATGTTGTTGAAAAAAAACCCTGATGCCTGAATGTCATTGCATCAGCATTTTCTGCCCTCTCCTTTGCTTTATTTGTTAATGGTTGCACAGAAGTGATTATGAAAACACACACACACACACACACACACACACACACACACACGCACACTATGGAGCAATACCATTTTTTTACATCTTTTTATCAGATACATGATTTCACCATGGACCTATATGCCTGTTGCAACTTCTTCTTTTTTTTTTTAAGCAGAATTATAGTTTATTTATATAAACTGAACAAATAGCTGAACAATACATTTCCAGGAAAAAAGTTTGCATCTGTTTGTGTCAAACATGCAACAAAACGGGGGCAAAATATATAGACATTTATAAACATTCTGTAATCACAGGTTGTCTCTACCTTGAAATATGCCTCTGCACCAAACATACTTCTCACCCTTAATGTCTGTCCATCTTTGATTCATTTTTGCATCCTATTTGCATTCTGCTTCTTTTTTTTATTATTATTTAAATTTTTATTTATAAGTACAAACTAAACAGAACAATGAAACGTACAAAACATAAAAACATATAAACATCCATTTCAGTACATGTCCAGTTTGTCACAACTGTAATATACATTTCTCTTTCTATTTTGACTCTTCCTTATTTGGTCATTTCCTTTTGTCTATCTACTATTGATCTTTGTTGACCTATGTCTGTTCTTTGTTTCCATCATATTATATTTGGTCATTTTGTTTACTTCCTATTGCTTCATCTCTTTCCTATCTTTCAACCAACTATACCACTTTTCCCATACTAAGTAAAAGTCATGTTCTTCCCTATTTTGTAATTCCTTTGTGAGTCTATCTAATTCCGCACATTCCATAATTTTATTGATTACTTTATCTGGTGTTGGTATATCACTACTCTTCCAGTGTTGCGCATATAGTATTCATGCTGCTGTTATCATATGTATAATTAAATATGTTGTTTCTTTTTTGTAGTATCCATTCACTATGCCTAGTAAGAAGCTTTCTGGTCTTAATTCTATCTTTTGGTGTGTTATTTCCTCTATTTGTATTTTGATCTTTTGCCAATATTGTTTCGCCATTGGGCAGGTCCACCACATATGGTAATAGGTGCCTGTTGCAACTTCTTAAATAATTCTGGAGTTACGGCTTTTGAGAGCACCAGGGATCACCTCACTCTGTTAAAGAATCCTATTTTAAGTTACTAGGATGACTTGGCAACTGTTAAATCAGTTGTCAAGTATATATTTTTCACCATGTATCTGTTTTGTCTTTTAGGCCAACAATCCCCTGTACAAAGGAGCTACTTCCACCTTTACCAACATTACATACCGTGGGAATTCGTGAGATTATGGTCTTCCAAGGTCTTATCCACTCATGTTTACAGAACTGTCTCTGTTATGGGTGTGAGAGGTTTTTTTAAAAAAAACAAACAAAAGAAAACAGCCATTGCTCAAGAGCCTTCACTGTTCTGCTGTCACAAGAAAGTATCTGCACTGTGATTCTTTCAAGACTTTCTTTTTTACCTCAGCTTGCCCAAGGCTACGGCCTGGACTTGTATACTGAAGAAGAAAGCAGGACTTGCTCTTCAGTATGAACAGCACTGCATAAATCCAGAGTTAAGAGAAGATTCTATCTGAACAAAATCAGGGGTCATGATTATTGAGCTTTATAATCTAACTCAGATGTGAATTAGTGAAATTTGGGGTAGAGGAGCTTCATGATATCTAAGTCCATTGCAAGCTGAACCCAAAGTCCCTCATCTAGGCAAAGTTTCCAGGGGTTCAACTGGTTGCTCATGCTGTTGCTACTGCCCTTTTCTTTTACCTTTCCAAACATACAAGACACTGGTTGGGTTGGCCAAGAGAATAGTGTGCTGAAAGTCCTTCATTACACTTTGCACACTGCTGTCTAACATAGAACATTCAAGGAAGCAAGGTTTCTTTCAAAAATCCTTGCTCCTAATAAACATAGCTTAGCGGAAGGGAGTACAGCAGGGGTGTCAAACTGGATTTCTTCGAGGGCCGGATCAGCATTGTAGTTCTCCTCCATGGGCTGGCAGGGGAATGGGGGAGACAGGACAGACCCCTCCTGCAGCACCCTGCCAGCCAAAACAGGGTGCGGGGGGCAAAGGACCAGCCCGCAGTGCCTCTGGCAGCCAAAATGGGGCATGGGGGGCCAGGTACAGTCCCCCCCAGCCCCATTTTGGCTGCCAGAGGCATCATGGACTGGTCTTTTGCTATTTCCAGGCCGGCCCCGCGGGCCAGATTTTGACACCCCTGGACTACAGGACTTCATTGTGAGATTTAGGAACCTGTCCAGTTCTATTTTGCTGTCAATGCAATTGCAAACCTGAACTTCCAAATGAATTCAGAAATAAGGCATGTTCTATTGGAGGCTTAAAGAAAAATACATTTCAAATCCAATGTTTTACATATTGCATCAGAGTTCCAATATTGTTAGACTATTCTTTTTGTTACACTTATCCCAAGACTATGATATAATAAATTCCTTGCTTTTAATTTTTAGAACGAAAGAGTTCCTTGTGTTTATAGATTATTTGCTTTCTCTAATGAGAAAAAAAGCACTCTGCATTAATCTCTTTTGTATGCTGACTTCACATATTTCTAGGTCTCTGGTTCAGATTATATTCCTCCTAGATAATATTTCACATAACATTAGTATCTTGGTAGGGTTCACAGATGTTAAGTTCTAATGTGGAATTTTTGTTATTGGCTTAGCATCATGTACAAATTCATTCACTGTATTGATATTGTATATAAATGGGATACTGTAATTTAGTCTTTTCTATAGAAATACCACTGGATAGGGAGTTGCACTAGATGATGCCCAAAGGGCCTTTCACATCTTACAGCCTAAGATTCTAGTCAACAAACTGTAATTTTAAAATCCTAACTGCAATGTGTGGACATCAACACCTAAGTGCATGAGTATATAACTACTTGATCTTCATGGGGGAGGTTTGGGAAGAAAATGTAGCTCAGACACAGAACATATGCTGTAGATACCAGAGGTCCCATATTTAATCACCAGCCTGTCAGTCTAGAAATTTGTTGTCCAACAAGAGTGAGCCCTTTGAACATTGCTGCCTACCAGTACAATACAAGGTAGCTACATAAATTCATATCATGTATCATGTAAAGCCAGAAATCTCCTCATCAGTACCGTAAATGACATATTAGGTAGGATTTGCCACTTGCTTAACAATGCTTCACCCAAAGCATTGGGATACGTTCTCCTCAGGTCCTGCTTTTCACTCAGGGAATCAATACTCACCTAGGTGAGTGTCCTAGATGACCAGAAAATTCTCCCTCAAGTTTTCTGAAGAAGGGGGGATTTGCTGAAAAAACCTGGCTAAATTCTTGGAGTCTTTTGTATCATAGAGTCTCTAATATAGGTAAAGAATGGAAGATATTTGGTAGGATGAAGTATTGTCATACCTGACTTTCAACAGCTCTTTTCATCTTGCAGTTCTTTCCATCTAGAGACTCATGGCCATATTGAAACTTGGGAGCAGAATAATATAAATGTGCCTTTCCTTTCTCTTGTTTTCTGCAACTGCATTAGCACCTTTACTGCTCTAACACTTCCTATAAATATACGTAGCATCTATGGATCTCTCTGGCTGAAGAGTAGCACCTTTCCATGAGAAATAGCTGCTTCTGTAATTAAGAAAATAAGATTTCATTCTCCTATTAATAAGTGTTGAAAGCAAATTCGTTACTAGAAATACTAGAAAGATTTTCATAAAAAGACTTTCTCTGGAATGGTGATTTGCACTGAACCAACTTTGAGGTATATCTTTTATGATATCCCACAGTCATTCTTCTAGTTCCCTTATCCCAAAATCAATGTATTCTCATTTTCAAAGTTGTGGAATCCTAACTGTGTTTGTTCAAAAAAAAAAAAAAAAGGAAAGGAAAGCGGCCAAGAAGTGAGGCTGCTTTTTCCTGAACTGAGATCAAAATGAAGGGCAGAATTATTTTGAGTAGTGTTGGTTAAAAGTAAGGCCAGTGTGGCCATTTGTATACTGTAAGTAAAAGAGTGCCTGTGGCACACATAAATAAAGAGTTTCAATTCACTAATTTATTTGACCTGTCTAATTAATCTTTCTCAATTTTATTTTTATTGTATTTGCTTTATTGTAAAATGATAGTTCTCTTTTAGTTCAGTTAAAATATAAAAACTATACAAATCATAGGGAGAAATTATTTAAATAATACAAACATCAACACAGAGAATAGCATAGCACTTTCAATATGAAATCATCATTAATAGCAGCAGTCATTTACTTCTAAGGTTCCTAGTGGTGTCATCACCAAAAAGCACCCCCCCCCCTTTTCTGGTAACCATTCAAGAGGAGATTGAATGATTGCCTCTGCTGAACATTTCAGAGTCAAAGTAGGATAATATCTGAGGAGATGTTCTTTTGAGTGACCTGTGCCCAAGTTATTTGTGTGTCATAGACTGAACACATATTTTAAATTAGGCTTGGAACCGGTCCGATAGCCTGTACAGATGCCAAAGAGTTGGCCTAATACTATTGGATTGGTGAAACCCAATGGTCTATCTGTCTATTGTGAACTGCTGAACTTTCCAAATCATTTTCCTAAGGACCTATTTGTCTAATTCATTACAGAAATCCAGCTGGGAGATTATCAGTAAAGGAACATAGGGTTGGCCTTGAGGATGGAGTGAGAACCATGGGGGTTGTGCAATAGGGAGTGAGCTGTTAAGGAGGGACTGAAGGAAGCATGAGAAACAAACTCTAAATATGCCTTGATTTTGTTTACTATAAAAATGTGACACAGAAAAAATTGAGCAGCTTTTAAGGTTCTCTCATATCCTACAACAACAAGGCAGCATTTCTGGAATCCCTGTGATCTGGTATACTTCGACATCAATTTTGGAAAAAAACCTTTTCATTTTCTTCATATTTCATCTTGCACTAAGAATAACAAAAATCAGGATGGGATTAGTTTGTCTCTCAGGCTTCCTTCTACCTCTGGATTTGTTCAAGCGTATGTTAACATCTTACACCTCCCCCTCCCTGTGCCCTCCCCAAATAGCACTTTCAGATTTTTCCCAAGATGAGTTCTACATTTCTTTACCAGAGCATGAACAATGGTTATACAGCTACCTTTGTCCAGGAAAGGTCATCTTAAGCATTCAGCAAGGCCTCTTAATTTTCTGGTGCTAATTTTGTGTTAGCATCCTCTATGTACCCCCTTCCACAACAGAATGGACACTACTGAATTGGACAGATGAGCCATACATAGGCAATATCTGGATTGAGCTTCAATTTAGCCTTCTTCCCGCCTATTCTCCCTCTAGAACAAGGGACTCCAAACTTGGCAACTTTAAGACTTGTGGACTTCAAGTCCCAGAATTCCTCAGCCAGCCACACTGATTGAGCATTCTGTGACTTGAAGTCCACAAGTCTTAAAGTTGCCAAGTTTGGAGACCTCTGCGCTAGAAGATTGACTGCTTTGCCTGTATTAGACAACAATGAGAAATAAAGCCTGAATCCATACATGTCACATTATATATATATACTGGAAAATTTATTTATGGCATATATTTATAATTTTTTTACATGAAATAGACCCCTAGCTGAAATTAGAAAATGATTCCATATTATTGCTTACGTAAGGGACATGGTGGCTCAGTGGCTATGACACTGAGGTTGTCGATCAAAAGGTCAGCAGTTCAGCGGTTCGAATTGCTAGTGCCGCGTAACGGGGTGAGCTCCCGTTACTTGTCCCAGCTTCTGCCAACCTAGCAGTTTGAAAGCACGTAAAAATGCAAATAAAAAAATAGGGACCACCTTTGGTGGGAAGGTAACAGTGTTCCGTGCACCTTTGGTGTTTAGTCATACTGGCCACATGACCATGGAAACGTCTTCGGACAATGCTGGCTCTTCGGCTTTGGAACAGAGATGAGCACCACCCCCTAGAGTCAGGAACGACTAGCACATATGTACGAGGGGAATCTTTACCTTATTATTGCTTACATGAAAGAATCAGAATCATGATCATCAAATCAAAATCAAAAACATCAAAAACATGAAAGAGAGCAGAATCATTTGCATGTTACAGCTGTCTAGGAGAAAATATTTTATGTAATACAATTTATTTTTTCCTTCTCTCCTTACTATGGTGCTCCAACTAAATCATTTCTTTCAGCGCAATGATTAAAGGTGATAGGAATGTACCTTTATATGTATGTACTGTTTTGTCTTTCCTATGACTTCCCTGTACTGTAATATAAAACTAGACAGAAATCTGAAATGCTTCTACAGAATGCACAACTCATATTCTCCAAGGCAGTCATAAAGTGAGCGAAGATCAACATGAAGCAGCTCATTTCTTACATGCTGCCCTTTTTTTTCCATTAGCATTTCAGATGCCTTCTTTTAGCAAGCCCCATTATTAGCTGAGGCCCTTAGCTGAAGCCAGATAGATTTTTAAAAATCTAGTGTTGGGTGGACAGTGACATCTAGAGGCCCTTTGTGGAACTACATCAGAAATATAGGCAGCTACCACAGCACATGGGTAACGTCAAAGCCAGACCAGTGTCTTCAACACCATACTTGTAGGGTACCAGCAATGACCAATGTCTATAAAACGAAAAACCTAGAACATTGGAAGTGCAGCACTCTGCGTAACATGAAAATGCAATACAAAGGTGAGTGGTAAAGAACTCATTTAAAGATCAGATTCAGGATATAGAAGATACATTGCATGATCAATATTAAACAAAAATATAAGTGCATATAAGTGCACACATGCATGGCAATAAATGGGTCCAAAATATAACATTCTGGTTTAAAATGAAAAATGGAAACCTAGGCTGAAGTTGGATCATTACAGAAATGAAACATGTTGTTTTGTTTTGGATACTTAAACGAATATAATGATTGAAGATCTGACTATATATGCAGAGTTTTTGCAACCTACTGACATCATGTAAGTTGGAACCTATATCCTTCTTAGATTTGTTAGTTGAGAATGATGGGTGTTGTAGTCTTAGAGTATATGTAAATCCTAAACTAGAGAAAGCGAAACTGATATTTTCTGTTGCATAATTTCATGACAGATGGGGGAGGGGAGCTTGTAGGAGGAGATT